CCAACCTATAAACATCCTCTCCTTTAGCTTGCTTCCCAGGCAAGCTAACTTCCCACCTTGCTTTCTCTTACTGCCAAACTTCATGAGAAATTGTAGTTGGCACTCACTGTTTCTACTTCCTCGCCCCATTCGAACCTCTGCCCGCTAACATGTGGCTGGTGACCCCACAGCTCCAGTGAAGTGCGTGCAGACAAATGGGAAGGCAGTCAGAGGGGGAGGAGAAAGAGAAGGTGACAGTATGAAGAAGTAGGGACCGGTGAATGGAATGCTCTATCTGAGGTGTTGAGGGAGGCTGGTGTCCTGGGGGAGAGACAGTCTGTCCTCAGAGCCTGGAGGGAGGATGAGAAAAGTGGGTACGGAGGTAAGTCTGGGTGGAGGAGGGACGGTAAGGAGTTTTTAGCAGATGGCCTGATTTTCTCAGTGAAGAAGAATGCTATGTGACTTTGTTGAAGGTGAGGGTGGAGGGGGTAGGGTGGAGCACAGGGAGAGAGCTGAGAAGCTTTGCCATAGCAAGTAGGAGGATTGGAAAAGCCTGGTAACCAAAGGTAGAGAGAGGAGCCCAGTCAGAGAGGATGCAGCTGAGCCTGGGGATTGTGAACGGGTATGACACCACATCTTGAGGGTATGGTCTTCACCGAGGTCTGCAGTTCGGAACTCAAGTGGAGTTCAGCATTTAGGTTGAGCCAGGCTGGGGGTTTGTCTAGGTGGAGGATACTGAAAGGTAAGAGCTCAAAGATGAGGGGTCCGAGGGGTCCAAGCTGGAAAGAAAGAAGGAGCGTAGCAGGCAGGGAGAAAACAGAATAATGGGGTTCAGGCCTGGGGATGCTGGTGCAGGTGAAGAACCCATCTGGTGAGTGGGACAGTTATGACCGGCCCCATAGTGTGAGACCAGAGTTTGACACTCCAGAGATGGAGCAGATTAGGTTCTAGAGCATGGCCATGGGCAGAGACAAGAGGAAAGGGATGGATGTGAGGGTCACTGGAATTGAGGAGTTAAGGAACGGTCAGGCTAAGATGCTGGGCAGGTTATCTGTCTGGAGAGTCAAGGTGCCAGGCTGGAGAGGAGCCCCCACAACCAGGTGTCAGAGTCCCTGGCGAGTGTGAGGGAGTGACTAGGAGGTCAGGAGGCGACTCTGGGGCTGGCAGGGACCAGCCACAGGGGAGGGGGTAAATGTGGTGTAGTTGGATGGCGTGAGCCTCTTGGGTTTTAAAAAATAGCAGTGATTTGTGCAATCAATATATAAAGGCAAAAACTCAATCAGCATAGAAAGGATTTTATTTTCATTTTTTTCAATAGATAGCACCCCTTGAATGTATGTAATATTTTTTAAAAATTTATTTATTTGAGAGAGAAAAAGGGAGAGAACATGCAATCAAGGGAGGGGCAGAGGGAGAGGGAGAGAGAGAGAATCCTTAAGCATACGCTCTGCTGAGCTTAGAGCTCGACGCGAGGCCGGGCTCGATCCTACGACTCTGAGATCATGACCAGAGCTGAAACCAAGAGTCAGACGCTTAACTGACTAAGCCACCCAGGCGCCCCTTGTTGTATTTCTTTGAGTTAGGTTGAACATTTTTTTTCATATTTGCTATTTGATTTTCTTTCTTTCTTTTTTTGTAGGCAATCTAGTGGCTCAAACTGCCAAAGTTCAAATCCTGGATTTTCGACATCTTAGTTGTGTGACCTTGGGCCATTTACTTAAATTTGTTGTGCCTCTGTCTCCTTCCTTAAGATGGGGATGATCACGCTGTGCCAAAGAGCTGTGGTGGGAGCTGCCCGGGCTCACGGAGGCCGTGTGCTTAGGACAGGGCCGGGCACCTGCAGAGTAAGTACTCTGGAAGCATGCTAGCTCTTATTATCTCTGTCTGTTGCCCACTTTCCTGCTGCATCGTTTGTCTTTTGCTTAAGGGTTCGTGTATTCAGGAGAGCAGCCTGCTGGCTGTCATTTATGTTGCTTTCTTGTCTTTCATTATTTGACATAAAAAAAAAAGTATTACATTCCATGCAGAAATGTGAAATGCTTTTTGTTATAATAACAAACATTTGAATTCTAAGATACTGAAAACAGATCATGCTTTTTTTTTCTTTTTTAGGAATCAGAGGCTGTGTTTTCACGGGATGGACAACGAGTCATGGCTCTGAAGTGCAGTGGGGAAGCCAAAGACTATCTTCCCCCACTCTCCGGAGGGGAGCGGCCCGTTCCCCCTGCAGGGGCTGCAGGACCACTGTGTCTTCACAGGCTTCATGAGGCCAGGCTGCTTGCTGGTTTCTCGCTGGGGTCCAGGGGGCGCAGTGGGAAGCCAGGCTGGGAGCCGGAGGGTCACCGAATGTGTGCTTGGGTGTGTGTGTGTGTGTGTGTGTGTGTGTGTGTGTGTGTCACAGAACACTACAGAGATAGGGGTGAGCCTCTGGGCAGTAAGGGGACAACTAGGAAAGACGCTGAGGATGATCTTATCAGAAGATTCTGCCCAGAATGCCTTAAGGGGGTCTCTGTGAGGCCAGCAGAGGCACGGGCTGGGGTGGCAGATGGAGTTGAGATGACCCACTGTGCCGAGCACCCTGCAGGTAGGAATGTGATCCGAGGCCTCTCTCGGTGTCGACAGCTCCTCGTGAAGCCCTCCAGAGGGTGTGTGTGTGCGTGGCCTGGCACCGAGTGGGTCGGTGCTGTTGGCCGTAGATGCAGAGACAGGAGGAGAGGGGTGGGCGGGGCTGGAGCTGCCAGGAATGTTTCAGGGAGGGGGTGGGGAGGCTGAGGGGTAGATACTGGGCAGGCCCTGCAACGGGGAAATGCCACTCGAGAGGGGGCTGAGGCCTGGCAAGCCTGAAGACCTTTTCTTCTTTGCAATGTCCTCCCAGCTCCCTCTCCCCATGGAACCCAGGGATTTCATCTCTGGTGAAGAAACCATGCCCAGGGAGGGGCAGTGACTTGTCCATGGTCACAAGGCAGGTCACCAGCAGTGTTCTGCCCAAGATCTCTCAGGCCAGGCTCTAGGGGAGAAGTGGAAGTGTTGGGGGGGGGGTCACAGATCCTGTGGGGGCTGCAGGTGGGAGGGGGAAGGAGGGTCCAGCCGCAGAACACGGGTGGGGCTGTGAGGGTTGAGAGGTAGGGGGCTGGTATGGCAGGTAGTAGGAGAGAGTTGAGGATGTGCCCTGAGGGGTAAGGAAGTTGGAGTGTGTGTGTGTGTGTTTGTGCGAGCCATGGGGTATGTGTGCATGTGTGTATGTGGGTGCATGTGTGTGTGAATATATGTGAGTGATGTGGTATGTAGGCATGTGAGTGTGCATGTATGTATGTGTGGAAATTAAACAGTTGGTCTCTTCAGCCTGCTTGGGGCGGGGGCTGGGGAGGAGTGGGATCCCCATGCCTGCAAATATCACAAGGCCAGGAACTCTTGGGTGCTTTTCAAACTACAACTGAGAATTCCAGGTAAAATCTCAATCTCTCTCCCCCTCTCTCTCCCACCCACACCCACCCACACACAGCCTACAGCAGAGACCACTGAAGGTCTCCTCAGGCACCCCTCTGCCTCTGGCCTGAGCTGTCCCAACACCAGTACAGAGAGAGGGAGGGCCAGGGATATGGGCCTGCATGAAGGTCACTGAACAGGGGCTGCGGCTCCCTTAGTCTCAGGGGAAGGCCTTCTTATCTAACTGAAATGAAAACCAGGAAGAACATTCCATCCCCACCCTCCACCACCCAGGATGTCCCCGAGGGCTTGGTCTGAGGTGGCAAGCCGGCCAGCTCATGCGGGGCTGGAGGTAGGCTAAAGGTGGCAGCAGGCCTGTCAACTGTCTTTTCCAAAGGCTCTCTAGGTGGCCCCTCTAACCAAAAAGGGTCTGGGGAGAATGGGGGGCAGGGCCTGGCAGAGGCCGAGGGCGTGGCAAGCGTGGCTGGAGGCTCCTGGGAAGTGAAGCTGGGTGGTGAGCTGTCTCTGTCTGGTGCTCCCTGTTCCAGCGCGGTTTCTCCCCATCTTGGGCTGGGTTCGAGACTGCTGGGACTTGTTTGGTGGGCGACACGATGAGAGCTGGGGACCTTTCCGCAGGAAAATGGCAGCAGTGGAAGATGGGGAGGAGTGTTTGAGTGTAAATACAAGCAGGCTCACAGACCTGCATCCAAAAGTGTGCAGCTGTGTATCCATGGACACCCCGCCACACACTGAGTACAGACCCCCACCTGTGCAAGAAGGTTCACAGACATGCACACACGTGTCTCGGGTGAGCACACAGCGAAGCCCAGTGGCCTGCAGGTGTGTCCACACAGAAGTGTGCAGACATCCGCAAAGTGTCCCCAGGACACGCAGGTGTCCCCTGCCTCTACAGGGACAAATAAGTGGATAGGAAAGTGTGTTAGGGGGAGGGGAAGCGCGAACCCAAAGCAACGATTCACACATGGCTTCTGGGCTTCAGATGCCCCCTGGAGTGAGGAGAGGGGCCAGAAGAGGGGTCATGCCCCACTTGGCCGAGTTTCTATATGGGAATGAGGTGTAGTGGCCAGGGAAACCAGCTAGGCCAGGCCACGTGGGGTCAGATTACTCAAGAACTGAGCTGATCTCTCAAGGAGGAACTGGACGTGGGGGAAGGAGGCTGTCTGGGAATGCCTTTCTGGAATGCTTGGGGAAGGGGGCTGGGTGCTGACTCCTGCACTAGAACTTTTTTGTTCCCCCTCTCCCCCAGTCTTTCATCACTCGATCTCTCTGCTCTGGCTGCAGGACTCTTTCTGAAGCCTCCACCCGGAAGCCTTCCCAGACTGAACCTGTTTCACATCTGCTCAGATGGCCGTCTCCCACCGCTCGCTGTCAGCTCCTATCCCGGGCGCTGGGTGACTACGGCCCTCCTCCCCACTCGGGACTTTCCGGCTTGGGCCGCAAAGCCCGTCCTGGGCGCGCAGAGCGGAAGCCTGGCCCGGGGAGGGGCCCCAGCGAGCAGAGAAGGGTGGCCGGCGGCCAGCCCCGCCCCTACCCGTGTAAGGGGATCGGCCCGCGCCTAGCGGATAAAAGCGGCGGCGGCCGGCGGAGGTCAGCGAGTTCGGCACTGTCGCGCCCGCCGCTAGGTCCAATCCGGTCCAGCCAGCATGTCCATCCACTTAAGCTCCCAGGTCTTCGGCTCGCACTCCTCCGCCCTCCCCGGGCGCGGCTCGCAGGTGCACCTGAGCTCCGTGCGCCCCGGGGGCTTCAGCAGCCGCAGCCTGTACGGCTTGGGCGCCTCGCGGCCGCGCGTGGCCGTGCGCTCCGCCTACGGAGGCCCCGTGGGCGCCGGCATCCGCGAGGTCACCATCAATCCGAGCCTGCTGGCCCCGCTGCGGGTGGACATCGACCCGTCCATCCAGCAGGTGCGCCAGGAGGAGCGCGAGCAGATCAAGACCCTCAACAACAAGTTTGCCTCCTTCATCGACAAGGTGAGCCCCACAGCCTGCCCCACGCCACGCTTCGGGCCACAGCAGCCACCTGCCCTGACTGCATGCGGGCCAGGCGCTGGGAGGTCTGGTGCCTTCTCCTATCGCCGGGACCGGGAACCTTCCTCCTCATGAACCCTGTGACTATTGTTCCCCTTTGGGCTCCAAATGCCCTCTTCCAGAGAGCTGACCAGATCGCCCTTTTTCCTCCCAGGAGGTGTGCTTGAGTCTGTCCGGCTGACCCCGCAGGTTGTGTCTGGGAGTGGGCTGCGTTTCTTGAGCGCATTCAGGTTGGGAGCTCCAGAGGCCAGGGCCAGGAGTTTCTCTGAGAGGGGGCTGCCTGGGGTGAGAGACGGAGTAGGGATGACACACTGTTCCCAGCTGAGGATCTCCTCCCTCCCTCCTCCCATAGCTTATGCTATGGCAGATGCTGAAAATAAAGGGCTGGAGGGAGGGAGGGAGGCTCCCTGCCACACCTGCCCACTGACCTGGTCCTCCAGCCTCCCTTTGGTGGTGGGAGGTGAGGTTCTACCTGCCCTTGGAGATAGCCCATTTGCGCCCAGGGAAGGAGCCCTAAGGGGCTCTGGGAAAGGGTCACTTGGGAGGAGGTTTTTCTTGGTTGTTTGGGTCCCACAGGGGTCAGGGAGGGAGTGGGGGAGTGAAAGGGGTTGGAGGGAGAGGGGCTGACTTGACTGGTGGGTCTAGGAGGGGAGCAAAGTAGGGCTGGACCAGGAACTAGGGGCTAGTCCAGCTGGGCCCCTCTGGCCAGGACCTCCTCCCTTGGGGGTGTTAGACTGTTAGACCAGACCTTCCCTCTCCTGCCTTGGTGTAGCTCTCTGCTTCTCCAGCCCCCCATGCCCTCTCCTTCATCATTCAGACCTTACAAATCCTTAAGATTCTGCCGAAGCCTCCCCAGGCCCAGGGTCTGCCCCTGGTGCTGAGCTGCTCTGTCTTACAGTCTGCAGCCCCCAGGCCCTGCTGCTCCGAGTTGCTAGTTCTGAGGAGGGCTATTTCCTACTCCCAGTCATATTGGATGCATCCAAGGAGCCTTTTGGGCCCCAGACCGAGCAGATAATAGTTGCTTATTTTAGCACCCTGTCCTGAGACCTTGGAAGAAAGGGGCAGCAGAGGGAGGATACAGAGAGGGGAGGCCCAGGACAGACAGGGAGGGGGCAGCCCTGCGGAGACGGAGGTGGAGAAGATCATCTGTAATGTGATGGGGAACATAGGAGGCAGGAGACACCTTGGCGACCGGGTAGATCTGACTCCTGGGTCACAGTGTAAGGCACTCAAGACAGAGAGTCCTGGAGGAGAGGCTGGTTCAGCGTGGGCTTCCTGGAGGAGGGGACCAAGGGCCGGGGTCCGGGTTGGGGGAACAGCCAGTGGGAGCATGGGCTATGCTGGGTGGTGGGGAGCTGGAGACGCTCCCAACCCCAGTGTGGGTGGCACGGGCTGCCCCTCAGGAGTTTCCTCCTCTGTTCCCCTCTTAGGTGCGGTTCCTGGAGCAACAGAACAAACTGCTGGAGACCAAGTGGGCCCTGCTGCAGGAGCAGAAGTCGGCCAAGAGCAGCTGTGTCCCCAGCATCTTCGAGGCCTACATTGCTGGCCTGCGGAGGCAGCTTGAGGGACTGCAGCTGGATGGAGGCCGCCTGGAGGCGGAGCTGCGGAACATGCAGGACGTGGTGGAAGACTTCAAGAACAAGTACTGACCCTCGTGAGACCTGGGGGGGGGGCGCTGGCACCCTGGGTGCATGCGCCCCCTGTCAGCTGATCCTTGGCAGGCCCCCTCTGGGGCTAGGGGTCAGAGGGTGCAGCTGCTCGGTACAGTAACCCCCAAACGGAAGGCCTTGACCCACACATTCCCTGTTTCTTCTCTCCCTTCTTCGTCCCTGGGAGCTGTTTCCAAGTCCTGTCACCTGACTTTGCCAGGAAAATATCCCCACCTAGCCCTCACCTGCACTGTTCCCTTTGGGTGCCTCACCAAGGCCCCAGGAGAGGGTAGGGCAGAAGGTGTCCTATGACAGATGCGCTTCAGAACTTGCACAGCCCTCACAGATTATTCTAAAACAGCCCCTCTGTTCAGGTGAGGAGTTAGAGACCAGAGAGATTCGAGGTCCTGAGGGATATCACATGGCAGGTCGCTGGGAGAGCTGGGACTGGAATGTTGGACCCCTGACTCCCAGGAGGAGATACAGAGCCGGCCTGGGACAGAAAGAAGCAAGGAGAGAGAGGGATCATGTGTGGTGGGCCATGGAGGGTTGCCGAGGCTGAGGGGGGGCTCTGGCCAGCGCAGGAACCAGGGCAGGAAGTGTAGGGGCCTGGAAGACTGGGATTGGAAGGACAGGTCTTTGAGGGCCCCAGTGAGGTCTCTTTTCCCATTGAAGAGAAACCGAAGCCTGAGTCTTGGGCTGGGCCCCACCCCAGCAGGCTTGCCCAGTAGTCCTGGGAGCAGCAAGTGAGTTCTGTGCTCTGCCCTGGAGGTGGATGACTAAAGCCACACAGGGACACTGGCTCTGACTGCAGGTAGAACAAACAAAAAGGCCTCTGTGGAGAGTACCCACTCCCCTACTTCCCTAGAGCAACAGTCAACAGGATAATCCCCCAGCAGGTGGGAACAGACAGGTGCAGGACGGAGTAGGCTCTGGGCAACCAGTGAGCCTCTATTGTCATGTGCTTGTGCCTGTGTGTGCTCACACACTTCCCCCGCCCCCCCCCACAGGTAGAGCACTTCCCTGCAGAGCCAGGCTGGGGTTGAGGGAGGCCTGGAAGGGGCACCTGGAAGGGTCCTGGGTGCCGCTGCCCAGTGAGCTCCTGTCTGTGCATTCTCTGGGCTCAGCAGCATGCTGCGAGGGCAGGGATGGAGAGGTGGCCTTTAGGATGGTTCTGTAACTATTCTATAGGACCTGAGGGCATGGGCCCTTGTGAGTCTGGCCTCCTCCTCGAGGAGCTCTGCCTGCAGGAGCTTCGTGCTCCCCACCATAGTTGCCCTGCTGCCCTCCTCCAGCCTGTGGGTGCTACTGAGTTCCTGTTTCTAACACTTTTTTAAAAAAAAGTTCCTGAATAAATACTGGGTCAGGCCCAAGGGTTTCCTTGCTCTGTGCCCTGCATCGCCAATGTCCTCCTATAAGTGGGACTGGCTCCTTGGGAGAAAAAGGGACTTGGCGGGGGGTGGGGGCTGTGGGAGTAGAGATGGGACCAGACCACCCAGCTGGGGCCTGGTTCTTCCAGGACTTGCTGCACCCTCTTCCTGATTGCTCTGCTTCAGGCTCCTTCTTCACCCTCAGGGGGTGGGATTAAGTAGTGGTTAAGGCGTGGGCCTGGGGTCAGACTGCCAGGCTTGAAGTCTGGGCTTTGCCACTTAGCAGCGTAGTGACTGGACAGATTATCTGCTTCTCTGTGCCTCTGTTCCTTTCCCGCGAAGCATGGTACCATTGTTATAGGATCATCGTGAGGATTAGGTGAGCTAATTCGTGGAAAGCACATAACAGTGCAGGCCCTATTTGAAGTGGTCCCTAAGCTTGGTTATTAGTATTTGCTTTCTCCCTCCCAGTAGATGCAGCTTTTGTCCTTTAATTCATGTACATTCCCTGCTCTTCCACCTTTCATCCCATGCCAAGACTCCCAGCCTTAGGAATAGCCACAAGGGAAAGTCAGGGACGTTTGGTTTCATAGCTGATCCCCACTTTTCCAGGTGTGTCAGTAAGGAGGGGGGAAGCTGATGCGGGGCAGATTCTCACCCCTGGGTAGGAGGGGGCATGGAGGCAGAGCCGCACCCACACTATGCACCCTCCCTCTACTGCAGGTATGAATATGAAATTAACCGTCGCACGGCTGCTGAGAATGAGTTCGTGGTGCTGAAAAAGGTGAGGGCCAGGTGTCTAGGCCAGGTGCGGGGGGGATCATCTGAAAATGTGTAGGACAGGGGGACGTGGCCCTCGCACCTGAGCAGCCGGTAGGGACCTGTGGCCAAAGTCTGGTCTGGGAATGAGGGGCTTGGAAAAGGAGATATCTGGAAACCTCATAGCACAGCCTGTCCTGTGTGTATGTGCGCATCTGGTGAGTCACTGGACTTGCTTTTGGCCTGGGGGCATTAGAATTCAGACCAAAAGATGGAGGCTAGAAAGGGAGATTTCAACCCAAATACGGGAGTGCTCCATCACAGTTAGAACGTTTCATGACAGGCATGGGTTGGCACCCGGCAGGGCTGAAGTATGTGCTGAATGAATGGGATGGGCCTGAGGCAGAGCGATCTCCCTGTCCCTGGAGATGTGCAAGCCGAGGTTGGAAGGCCTTAGGAGTATCTTCATGGGGCTTGATTTAAGATTCTGATTCAGTACACTCACTGAGCAGCTCAGGGTTCTAGGCCCGTCCACATGACAGCAACCTGCCCCAGAGTGCTGGGCCCTTAGAGATTTAGGTGCTTCAAGGATGCCTAAAAGCAGACCCTGTCCACACAAGTTTGAGCACAGGCATGTGTGGCTAGAAGGGCCCTGATGCCCCCTGGGCCTGCGCTGTTCTCCATGGCCCACCTGCATTGCCGTCACTAAGCTGCATGTTAAACACGTAGGCTGGAGATCTTCCATCTCTGAGAGCCTTATCCTATAGTCAGAATGATTTTCTGCTCTCCTCCTTCATCAGAAGTTGAGGCTCACGGAGTTAAAGTGACTTGTTCAGGGTCACATAGCTTGTAGGTGGTTGGGCCAGGGTTGTGTCCAGACCACCAAAGCCTTTAGGAACCAGGAAAGTGCTAGGTTTGGGGCTACAGGCTGCTTGGGCTACCAGTGCTGGGTAGGCAGCTGTGTTCCTGGGGATGCATGGAAATGATGCCTATCACGCAGCTTCGGAGGGCCCAGTGGAGGAAACTTGCTACCGTGGCCAGGTCAGGCAGCCTGGAGAAATGGCATGTCTCTTGGTAGGGCCCTGGTGTTTGACCCTGTGGGTTGGACAGTGCTGGTTGGCTCCCATCCCTGCTAAATATTCTGTGTACTGAGGCCACGGTGTCTCTACCCCTTCTTGCCACCACCCCTCAGGATGTGGACGCCGCCTACATGAGCAAGGTGGAGTTAGAGGTGAAGGTGGATGCCCTGAATGAGGAGATCAACTTCTTCAAGACCTTCTATGAGACGGTGAGGACCTTGGGTGTGGGAGACATGTCATGTCTTCCATGTCCTAACAAAGGGGCCATCTGGTTAACCCCCTGCGTCTGGGCCAGCCTGGGTGAATGTGTGTGCATGCACTTATCCTGTTCTTTATCCTTTCTGGACTCAGGAATCCGTGGTGGGCAAGGAGTCTAGGAGGAGCTGAGGGTAGCAGAGCAGGGTGGGGTTAGCCAGGTTTGGCCTTCCAGAGACATGGGATGACCATTTTTTAGGAGGGGTGTTGGGAGGGGTTGAAAGGAACCAGGAGGATGTCTAGGGATCCTGGGCTGTTACAGAGTTAAGAGGTAGGCTGGGTGGGGTGGCCAGGGGGGCCCGAGTCAGGAGAGAGTGTCGGGGAGTTTATAGCCAGAGGGACCAGATACGTGGTCGCCCAGCAAAAGGCCACTCTGTCTGCCCCTGCGGTCTCATCTCTCCCTCTTGCCTTAGCTGGGGATTTTACCTCTTTTTTCTCCGGGGGATTTAAAACCCTCTCCACTCCTATCAGTGTTAGTCTCTGGCCTTCAGCGGAAGATAGGACAGCCAGTCATCTGGCAGCGCTGGTCTGCGACACTGTTATATATGAGGCTAATTACAGACCAGTTCTCAGTTCCTTTTTGTCTAGCTTTCCTCTGAACCTCCAGCCTCCATGAGCCCCTCAGTGAATTTCCACGTGTGTTAATTTTAGGGGCAGGCTCCTTGAGGTTTACTTCGGGCATTCTAATCTCTGTGTGGGTCTTTATATGTCTGTCGCACGTTATATATACGTAGGTCTATGTATATATATGTGTGTGTGCATATGTATATGTATACTTAATTATTTCCCTCTCATTATGAAAGAAACACATACTCATTGCCAAAAATCCAGAAAATTGAGTACAGCATAAAATTGAAAACAGGTCTCTTACATGTGCTCTTATCACCTTGGTATCTACCTTTTCAAACTCTTGCTGTGCGTATACACATACAGATATAGTAATATGTATTTTAGTAAAAGTAGGATCATGTTTTTTTATGTAATGGTGTACCATGGTTATAAATACAGCTGTATCATCAGTTTTAAAGGCTGCAGAGAGTTCCATCCTGGGGTGGGATATTTTATTTGACCCACCCACCCCCTAGTGATGCGCTTCACAGCCGAGCTCCTGCCCCAGCAGAGCTCACAGAAGGGGCCATCACAGTCCCCCACACTCTGTCTCTTCTTTATCTGCTGTAATCCCACCAGACTCTTTTCTTGAGAAGTTGCTAATGAAGCTGCTAACCTCCCTGGGCTGCCGGGGGCAGGCGGACTGTTAAGCAGGTGCTGGGTCTGTGTCCCCTTGCCTTCTGGTGACTCACGCTCACTCTGACCTCTTCTCCCTTTTTCTTCCCCTAGTGTGAAGAGGGTCCCAGGATGGGTGTGGGAACGGGGATGGGTCACGCCCCAAGTCCTGACGTTCTGTCCCATCCCTGCAGGAGTTGGCAGAACTGCAGTCCCAGATCTCGGACACGTCAGTGGTCCTGTCCATGGACAACAGGCGCTCCCTGGACCTGGACGGCATCATTGCCGAGGTCAAGGCCCAGTACGAGGAGATGGCCAACCGCAGCCGGGCCGAGGCCGAGACCATGTACCAGATCAAGGTGTGAGGCTGCGGAGGGCCCTTTTTTCTTCCTGGCAGGGTCCTTGATGGGAGCTGCCCTGACTCCTCACTCTGTCTCAAGCCTTTAGGGCTTGGGTCCTGCTGTTCTGACAGGCACCAGTGGTTAAGTCTGTGGTGCTCTCCGAGGCCCACAGAAGAGGTGAAGAAGAGGTGAAGGCCAGGTCCCTCCCCAGGGAGAGATCCCAGCCAGATGGGCTGACAGGGTGGAGGTGCCCAAAGCACAGACAGGTTAAGTAATGTGCCTAACTCTACACAGCTAGTAGATGGAAGAGTAGGGACTAGATCCTGGGTCCTAGGCCTCCAGACCAGGGAGGTTTAATCATTACGTGCCATGTGGAGGAAGGGCGGCTGACTGTGCAGGTGCTGAAGGAGCTGGGGTAAACTAGTGTTCTGGGGGAGGGAGCGTGAGGCAGGGCTTAAAAGCAGCAGAGGGAGGTCTCTGCAGAGATAAGGAGTCATCCATGGTACACGGGGTGAGAACACAGATATGCCAGCAAGGAGACGTGGGTTCAGACTTGCCGTGTGATCCTTGGGCAGTGCCTTCCATTCTCCAGAGCTCATTCTTCCCATCTGTGAAATGGGTGGTGCTGATGTTTTCAACAAGTGTGTTTTTACTAGGGGGTTGTTTAACAGGTGAAGATTTCAGACTTCTAGTGATTCTCCAGCACTTGGGACAGGATGGGAATGAGCAGAGCCCCAGGATCAATGGGGATGGGCCCTAGGGAGCCATCCTGGCCCTCCCTGTCCTGACTGGGAGGAAAGCAAACCCCAGCTGTACCCCACTGCCCAATAGTCTGGCTTGCTGGCAGTGGGTGAAGATTGCTGGGAGTCAGACTGTCGCTTCCAGGGAAGATAAGCTAGGAGGGCTCATCACTCAGAACCTTGGGCCTTCCTCGGAGGGGGTGAGGGATGAGTCCCCTGTAATGGTTGACCATCCCCTGTCTTACTTCTCTGTGTGGCCCCTCTAGTTTGAGACCCTCCAGGCACAGGCTCGGAAGCATGGGGACGACCTCCGTAATACACGGAACGAGATCGCAGAGATGAACCGTGCCATCCAGAGGCTGCAGGCTGAGATTGACAACATCAAGAACCAGGTGGGAGAAAGCCCCCTCCCCCCCGCTTCCTCCTCCCTGTTTCTTGGGGCCTGTGAAGGGCAGCCATCTGAGAATGAGGAGCCCGAGGCTCTCCCAGGCTGAGGCTGGTGCAGCTCAAGTCTCGTGGGCCCACTTGTGAGATCTCCAGGACAGAATGTTCTTGGCCAGGTCCTGGCTCAGGCCAAAGGGAGGAGAGGAGTCGTAGTTGGGCATACAGCCTGGGGAGGGAGCCTCAGCCTGGCCAGCCTGAGAAAAACCACCAATCATTACCAAACTCGTACTGAGCACTGTCCTCGCACCTCGCTCTGGGTGCAATATGCTGTACCTGGGAGCTCACAGTCTGTGGGGATTGGGGGGACAGAGGCCAGCAGAAACCCTTACGGTGGCTCATAAGGCCCCGTCCTTCACCTCCCACCGCTGCATCTCACTGTGCTCCGGCCTCACTAGCCTGCTTCTGGTATCTTGGATCTGCCAGGCACGTTCACGCTTCAGAGCCTTTGCCCCTGGTGTTCCCTCCATCTGGAATGTGGTTCTCCCAGCTCAGCACATGGCTACCCCTTTGTCATCCCTGGGATTTTGGACACGAGTCCCCTTTTCAGAGATGGCTTCTCCAACCACTCGGTCAGCAGGGTGTCTGAACTTTCTGGAAGCATCTATCACTGAAGTTTTCTGGCTTATTAAGTGGTTGGCCGTCCCCCACCTCTGCTGAAATCCAAATAATGCCTTGGGAGCCGGTCCCCATCTGTCTGACTCACCGCTCCTTCTCGGCACCCGGCACGTGGTGGGGCATGGGCCTCCGATGACGGACTGTTGGGAGGATGTGCTGTGTCGCTGGCAGGGGGACAGGCCCTGGCCGAGGTGTGGGGAGGGACGGGGCAGCTCAGCCAGAGCAGGTGTCTGCAGTGGGGAGGGAGGGCAGGTAACCAGTGCTGCAGCTTCAGAGGGCTAAGCTCCAGATGAGCTGGGGGGATGGGATGTGGGGGTGACTTACCCAGAATGTCCTCCCCTTGGAGCCCCGCAGGCCACTTTACATAAGGGTGGAAGCTGCCTCCTGGCGCGGAGGCGGGGCTATGAGTCCCGGTGCCGCGAGGCAGCTTCCAGGCCGGGAGGGGAGGCACAGAATCCTGAATGGTGGTTTCCCAGACCCTGCAGCTTCTGCCACATCTGCTTCTCCTCTTGTACAACGGGGCGGAGCAGGCCCCAGAGTTGGGGTGTCCACCGCCACGGAGGGGCCCCGGGGCAGTGGGATGAGGCAGTGCCAAGGGGGCACCAGTGTGATAGGGAAGGGGACCGGCAGGTGGACGAGGGGCAGAGGGCACGCGAGGGGCCTTCTGAAGGATTAGGAGGGCTGGTAGAGAGGCAGAGCACACCCGGGACAGGGAAGGGTCTGAGGACGGAGAGCGGCTGGTGAGAAGGAAGGGGGAGTGCTGGGTAGGGGTGGGAGTAGTAGCTCTCAGAGCCCAACAGCGGGAGGCCCAGGGCTAGATAGGTTCCTGGTGTGCGGATGGGGCACAGATAGAAGGAATGCTCCTGGTGGGCAGGAAGTGGCAGCCCCGGCTCAGGTCCATCGTGAATCCGACCAACCCGGCCCAAACCAGGGGGCTGCTGGTCACACATTTTGAGGCTGGGGGGGTTCCAAGCAGTATCTCTCTGCTCCAAGTCCCCTGTTCTGGGCCTGTTTTGAAGATGGTTTTTGTTCTTATCAGCTGCCCAAAATTTGGGGACTCAACTAAGATCCCATGGCTTTGGATCTCTTCCGGCTGGGGACTGGGTGGGGGGGGGATGGGCATTAGAAAATTATAATCGCATTTACTAATTATAGTGATTATAACAAGCGATAACAAGTGTTGGCGAGGATGTGGAGAAAGGGAGCCCTGTGTACTTTCTGTGGGAACGCAAACTGGTGCAGCCACTGTGGAAAACGGTAGGGAGGGTCCTCAGAACATTAAAAATAGAACCACCATAGAATCCAACAATTCAATTTCTGTGTATATATCTGAAGGAAATAAAATTTATTTTTTTAATTTTTTTCAAAGATTTTATTTATTTATTTGAGAGAGAGAGAGCACAAGAGGGGGGAGCGGGAGAGGGAGAAGCAG